TTGTGTTAGTGCTTACTGAAAGATTGAAAGGCTGATTGAATGATAGATTGAAAGGTCTTGTTAAAATTAATTGGGGAATTCATTTTGTTCATAAAATAGGTATGTGGAAGAGCACGTGCAGAAGACTGGTGTTGCCATAGAGACCCAAGGATTTACCTTTGTCACAAGTGGAAAGAAACGAGAATCACTAACAGTAAGTTGACTTTCTCAAGTTAAATTGTTTCTTTGTTGTTGTTGATTAGCATGATTTTGGTGTTATATCTGATGCACTAGTTCCTATACTAGTATTACTCAATCCATTTAAATTGCATAAGCTAATAACAACATTTTTGTCAAAAACAGGGAAATGCTACATTGCATCTATATCCACACTTCAAGTCACTGCAGGATCTTGAAGGTTAATGAAACATCAATTTTTTCCAATCACTGACTACACACTGAAAGTTTCTGTTACCTTGAGGAAACATGGTTTGATTTGAGAGCTTGAAAAATAGCCCAATAGGAGAAGCTGTAGAGAATAAGAATTGTCTTTCCAGGAAAATGATGATGAGTGATTTTAGGAGTCTGCAACTTTTTCAAAGCTCAGAAATGATGTCTGCTAACACCATATTGCAAAATTAGGGAAGGGAAATGTAATGTAATAGATAGATTTACAAAATACTCATTACATTCCAATCAGCTTTTTGTTTACCATTCTGCACTTTTTGTGTTTTGTTTGTTTTGTATGTCTCATAACAGGTGTTGTAGATTACTTGACAACTGAAATTTCTACATCAAAACAGAAGAAATTCAGCCTGGTGACTTTTGTTGATACTCCTGGCCTTGTTGATGGGGACATGAAGTATGCATTTGATGTGGATGAGTCCATCCTTTGGTTAGGTAAGTTGCCAACTTTTAAATTTTAAAACCAGGAGTTTTAAGCAAGTCTTCTAGAACTTATTGTTGATCTTTTCATCTTTGGCTAAAAAAAGCCACTGCAGCTACTGGTGCATGTATTTGGACAAAATCATCAGAGGTGGTAAAAGCCAGACAAGCTCTTCCCCTTACATGGTTCTGAAGATAAAAAAGATAATTAAAGTTTAATGGCCTCAAAGCAGCTGAATGCAGTTGTCAGTAATGGCAAGAGAGATCAAACTCTAAACAGCAAAGTGTCATTTTTGTGCCAGACCCATCAAGAGTGCGCAGCATCAAACACTGGGTCTTTAAGCATTTGTTATGTAATTGCTCCACATTTTTCTTTTCCCTTGTATTGAGACTCTGTACACATTTTGTCTTTTTTTTTTTTTCAGGTGATCTGGCTGATCTAATTTTTGTGTTCTTTGATCCAATTGGGCAAGCTCTTTGCAAGAGAACTTTAAATTTAGTTGGTAAGCTCTGTACTTGTATGTCATTCTTGTGCCAGTTTTACTTTTCAGTCTCATCTGTATTTAAATTCTTTATGTTTTGTGGTAGAAAAAATGAATGAGAAGCAAGGGGATCGGATCAGATTTTTCCTAAGCAAAGCAGACACAGCAGGACATGAAAGTGACAGGCAGGTAACCACAACT